CCCCCCCCCGAACATCTGAAATGCCCCTCCGGGGGAAAATTTCTAAAAGAAACACTGGCCAAAAGACAGACAGAGAAACTATCTAACTTCTGGAAGACATTCCGCGCTTGACTTGGTGTCGTATTTTTCTGCTTATGATGACGTACTGTCAAGTCTCTTTTGTGACGTACGCTTTGGTCGTGTGGCAGACGTGAAAGGAACTTTGTGGAAGTGGGCTGTGTTTGAGTTCTCTCTGATAGCGAGCTGCGAAATTCGTGTGTATCTGGAATTAACAGTCTTTAAATTTACAATTGATGTTAAAGTTGCATTTATTATGAAAAAGACTTAAGTTTATTCAGAGGCGTCTGACGTGAGACGGGAGTCGGGAGACGGGAGACGTGGGACGGGAGACGTGAGACGGGAGATGGGAGTCGGGAGACGGGAGTCGTGAAACGGGAGACGTGAGATAGGAGACGGGAGTCGTGAGACGGGAGACGGGAGACGTGAGACGGGAGTCGGGAGACGTGAGACGGGAGTCGGGAGTCGGGAGTCGGGAGACGTGAGACGGGAGACGGGAGACGTGAGACGGGAGTCGGGAGACGGGAGACGGGAGACGTGAGACGGGAGTCGGGAGACGTGAGACGGGAGACGTGGGGAGACGGGAGACGGGAGTCGGGAGAGGGGAGACGGGAGACGGGAGACGTGAGAGGTGAGGCGGGAGACGTGAGTCGGGAGACGTGAGACGGGAGACGGGAGACGGGAGTCGGGAGACGGGAGTCGGGAGACGGGAGTTGGGAGACGGGAGACGTGAGTCGGGAGACGGGAGTCGGGAGACGGGAGTCGGGAGTCGGGAGACGGGAGTGCTATTCCTTTCATCAATCCTAATGGCAACTTCATCAAGCATTGCTGACAACCTTACGTAAACACATAGACTGTGCGTCAAAATCTGACCAAACATCACTTGTAAATAATCAAGTAAATATCAGTAAGAAATTTTAGAATATGCGTAAATAATTAGACATTTGACACAATTCTTTAACCCAAACACAACGGGATATCTCTGATTCTATGAATACTTGTTGCTTGCTTAAAGCGTGTGGGCCATACTAAGGAGCGATTCAACACTGATGAGAATGTCATACAACAAACTGTGATGAGTACAAACAAATACCTTTATAAAAATGCTGGTCAGATGACAAAGAGCCATTTACAAGCATGACCAAGTAGCAAAGATTTTTTTAATCACTTTTAGCTACGTATGATTATTTGAAAATATGTCTGAAGAAACCTTTGCTTGTCTGTAAAAAAATTAATCAGATTTGACATCTTTGTAGATATTAGTTTTTTGGGTTTTTTTAATGCCAACCCTCTCATTATCGCAAGCACAAAATATCACCCCCCTCTCCTTTTTCAAATCTAAAAATATTATTTGACATAAACAGTAGAAGCCAATAAACCAACATATCTTGTATGCACGCAACATCCGGCTAGTAATCGTGTAAAGCTTCAACACATCAATTCATGAAAACAGCTGTTTCATTGTCTTTTTTAAAGTTAAATTTAAAACCCCTTAGAAACAGAGGCTCGCAACCATACATTTTTTCACGCGCCTGAAGTCTATTAATATTCTAATGACCCATAACCTTGACACAGCATATTGAATTCACCAACTGTTTCAGAAAAAACAAAAGAAATATTACACACCAAACGCACTTGCGATTCATTTTTTTAAAGAATCTCATTTAGCACAGTTACCGGGAATTTTATTTTTTTCTGCCCCTTGAAAAAACAGAGGAAAAAAAAAGGATTTTTGTTGGTTAGCGATTGGGGTGAACATTTAACAAATGTGTTGTCATCAAGGAGTCAGTGTTCTAGGTTTCATTCCGATATCTTGACGGGAAGTAGGCAAATTAGCCGTCCGAAGAATTGCCACCCAGCCAGGCAGTCAGCCGGCCACTCACAAACAAAAGCGAAGTAAATATAAATATAAAGGATTTTTTGCTAAAGTTTTTAGCCTATGAACTCAAGATGGCTGCGAGCTATCAAAAAGATACGATCTTTAAAAGGACGCTAAACCAGTTTCAAAAATTAAGCTGGGTCTTAACCATCTCCAAGGGTTCTCATGGCGCAGAGTAGCATTCCCCATCTGTAACAGGAAGAAAGTGAAAATTCACAACGATTTGGTCATTTTGTTTTATTTTTAACATTTAAATAACTAGTTACCCATCTGTGGTATTGATGGTATAAGTGATGGGGAATAACCGTTTCGATAATGGAGGGGGGGGGGTTGGGAGTGCGGTCGTTGATGAACAACAGCACTTAAGAGACATAATAAAGAGATTGTATTCAGAGTTCAGTTCAGGTATTGGTGGCACGTCCGGTACGCACACAGAGGGTGTTCAACTCACGTAATAAATCAAAAGACTTTAAACACATTGCATATAATCACCAATAAGCGCAATTTACCGTGCGACTGGTGTCAAAATACATGGGCAACTAAGATGTTGCATCTAATCAACTGACCAATTCTGTTTGAAAACTATGCTTTCAGGGACCATTTGTTATGCCACAACCGAAAGAGAAATCTATACACTTCCATATATAAAATATATTCTTAGAATTCATTATGAACTTTTTTGTAAAACACAAGCTGCCTACGAAGAATTATATTCAGATATTTTCTATTCTGTATTTTGAAGACCAAAAATAAAATGGCAAGCTAATATTTTCGGCATTTTTGCGAAAAAATGGATTTGGAAATGTCATCTGTGCATTAGTAGTCTACAATTAAGATCCCTTGACGTTAAATGTTTAGAACCATTCTATCCAGCCGGACGTGCATTCGACTTGTTTATATTCTTTTTGTTTAGTTTAAGACCTTGAAAGTGTCACATGACCTACAACCTCAATGTCATTATGTAAATATTTTTTAAAACCTTACTTTAACGCCATTCTTTCTGCCTACTTTCGTGGGTGGGGGTGGGAGTGTTTGGGTGTGTAATGTTACTGTTTTCCCCTTGTTTAAGTCCGGTTTTGGTTGTCAAACTACGCAGTTCCGTGTGTGGGTCAAGAAATAGGGTCCACTTGTAATGACCTTGACTTAGAGTAAAAGCTTATAAATAAAACCCGCGCACCTGGTGTTAAGTCACAGTGGCTGTGGTCAAGCTTCATTGCACTCGCCATTCTGAACTTTTACTGAGTACTGCTGTCAGAGTAAAAGTACTTCGCATACATTTAGAGTAGGTCAAGTAATATATTCTACCTTCAGAGCAAAAAGCTTGTTAGATAAATTACTACTGTCAGACTAGAGTGCTGCTGTCAGGCCAAAGTGCTACTGTTACATTAAAAATAACTACTGTCAGAGCAAAAAGCTCTGCTACAGAAAAAAAGATAGTTAATCTGACAGCAGTCATATAGATAGTTAATCTGACAATAGCTCATCTGACAGCAGACATATTGATAGTTAATCTGACGTCAGACATACAGATAGCTAATCTGACGTCAGACATATAGATAGTTTATCAGACAGCAGACATATAGATAGCTAATCTGAAAGCAGCCATATAGATTTTTAATCTGACGTCAGACAAATAGATAGTTCATCTGACAGCAGGCATATAGATAGTTAATCTGACAGCAGACATATAGATAGTTAATCTGACAGCAGACATATAGATGTTTAATCTGACAGCAGACATATAGATAGTTAATCTGACAGTAGCCATATAGATTTTTAATCTGAGAGCAGACATATAGATAGTTAATCTGAGAGTAGAACGGTACATTAATAATTTCTTTCTTGTTTTTTCCAGCTGTGAACAAAGGGCAAATAACCTTTGATACAAGATGAATTGTGCCCCTTTGCTCGCTGCACTTGTTTCTCTTGTGATGGGTTTCGGCGGTGCAGGTAAACATATAACAGTGTTATGGGCAGTCTCCTCTAAGTAAACATATAACAGTGGAATGTGCAGTCTCCTCTAAGTAAACATATAACAGTGGAATGTGCGGTTTTCTTTATGTAAATATATAACAGTGTAATGGGGAGTGTCCGTTAAATATCTATAGCACAGTGTCAATAGCATTCTCTTTAAGAACGTACTTGCTTTTGCACACCATCAGGCAAACATTTTTACTGAAATTGGTCAAATAATATCAATAATCTTAGCGCCATTAGGAGGTCAAATGATATAAAGAATCTTAACACCATTAGGAGGTCAAAGGATGTAAAGAATCTTAACACCATTAGGAGGTCAAATGATATAAAGAATATTAACACCATTTTAGGAGGTCAAATGATATAAAGAATCTTAACGCCATTAGTAGGTCAAATGATATAAAGAATCTTAACGCCATTAGGAGGTCAAATGATATAAAAAATCTTAACGCCATTAGTAGGTCAAATGATATAAATAATCTTAACACCATTAGTAGGTCAAAGGATATAAAGAATCTTAACACCATTAGTTGGTGAAAGGATATAAAGAATCTTAACGCTATTAGGAGGTCAAAGGATATAAAGAATCTTAACGCCATTTAATGGGGCCAAATGATATAAAGAATCTTAACGCCATTAGGAGGTCAAATGATATAAAGAATCTTAACGCCATTAGGAGGTCAAATGATATAAAGAATCTTAATGCCATTAGGAGGTCAAATGATATAAAGAATCTTAACGCCATTAGTAGGTCAAATGATATAAAAAATCTTAATGCCATTAGTAGGTCAAATGATATAAAGAATCTTAACGCCAATAGTTGGTGAAATGATATAAAAAATCTTAATGCCATTAGTAGGTCAAATGATATAAAGAATCTTAAGGCCATTAGTTGGTGAAAGGATAGAAAGAATCTTAACACCATTAGTTGGTGAAATGATATAAATAATCTTAACACCATTAGTTGGTGAAAGGATAAAAGAATCTTAACACCATTAGTTGGTGAAAGGATATAAAGAATCTTAACACCATTAGTTGGTGAAATGATATAAAGAATCTTAACACCATTAGTTGGTGAAATGATATAAAGAATCTTAACACCATTAGGAGGTCAAAGGATATAAAGAATCTTAACACCATTAGTTGGTGAAAGGATATAAAGAATCTTATCGCCATTAGTTGGTGAAAGGATATAAAGAATCTTAACACCATTAGGAGGTCAAATGATATAAAGAATCTTAACACCATTAGTTGGTGAAAGGATATAAAGAATCTTAACGCCATTAGGAGGTCAATGATATAAAAAATCTTAACGCCATTAGGAGGTCAAAGGATATAAAGAATCTTAACGCCATTAGGAGGTCAAATGATATAAAGAATCTTAACGCCATTAGGAGGTCAAATGATATAAAGAATCTTAACGCCATTAGGAGGTCAAATGATTTAAAGAATCTTAACGCCATTAGTAGGTCAAATGATATAAAGAATCTTAACGCCATTAGTTGGTGAAAGGATATAAAGAATCTTAACGCCATTAGGAGGTGAAAGGATATAAAGAATCTTAACGCCATTAGGGGGTCAAATGATAAAAGAATCTTAACGCCATTAGGAGGTCAAATGATATAAAGAATCTTAACGCCATTAGGAGGTCAAATGATATAAAGAATCTTAACACCATTAGTTGGTGAAAGGATATAAAGAATCTTAACGCCATTAGGAGGTCAAAGGATATAAAGAATCTTAACGCCATTATTTGGTGAAATGATATAAAAAATCTTAATGCCATTAGTAGGTCAAATGATATAAAGAATCTTAACGCCATTAGGAGGTCAAATGATATAAAGAATATTAACGCCATTAGGAGGTCAAATGATATAAAGAATCTTAACGCCATTTTAGGAGGTCAAATGATATAAAGAATCTTAACGCCATTAGTAGGTCAAATGATATAAAGAATCTTAACGCCATTAGGAGGTCAAATGATATAAAAAGAATCTTAACGCCATTAGTAGGTCAAATGATATAAATAATCTTAACACCATTAGTAGGTCAAAGGATATAAAGAATCTTAACGCTATTAGTTGGTGAAAGGATATAAAGAATCTTAATGACATTAGTAGGTCAAATGATATAAAGAATCTTAACGCCATTAGTAGGTCAAATGATATAAAGAATCTTAACGCCATTAGGAGGTCAAATGATATAAAGAATCTTAACGCTTGTCTTACAAGAAAATCAACCCACAGATGGTATAGATAATAGCATACTTAAAATTCTTGTATAAAAATCATTTCAAAGCAACATAGTTAAATAACAACATAGCCAAATAATTATATAGCAACAGAGCTACATATCAACATAAGTACATAGCTACATAGCAATATAGCTACATAGATAAACAGCAGGAGACTAATCAAAATCAACGTTGAATAGACAGATGAGACTCTTTAATCTTGGATTGCAACTCATCTAAGACAAGGAAATTTTGAATGCAAACCGGGAGATGGAACCCCTTGGCGGATAACATTGGTACAATAAGGCATTCCAACAACTCCTGCAACGCCACTGGTGCTAAGCTGCATCATCCACATATCATGTTCCCTTTTGTTATCCATTGGCGTGGAGAGATGCAATATGCTGTGTAGGGAACGAGCTTGTAATCCAAAATATAGAATAATCCCAGGCCATGTGGATTTGGTTCTCCGAAGTCTACACCATCGTCACATTGTGACGGACGGACGCCCGACTGAAAGAAGCAGAAAACTTTTTAAAAAATGTTATAACACCGAATGCTATTGTCTGTTATTTACTCATGTTATTGTTCGTCCTTCGCATCGGAAGAAGACCATGCGGCTATACTTGACGGTGAGTACGCGGGTAGCTTGTGAATCATATCTGTGCCGGGAGAACTTCCCCACATGAAGGACGCACGTGTTTTGGGGAGCTCTGGTGGTATCTTACATTTTTCTTTTATATTTTGAGGGTCCGCGATCAATTTATTGATCATTCTGGCTCCTTGTTTCGATTCAGAATGTGCCTTCTTTGATATGAGTTGCCATGCAATGCTAACGAGACCCATCCACCCGGCAAATCTGCTTCTCCTTCCAGTGTGCTTTGTTTGGCGTGAGCGGTACGTTGACTCTCCGAAAGTGTGAGGCTGTGGGATTTAAAGCCAGACAGTTTCCTATGAGTTCAGGTCGATGTCCATGGATAATAGGGACACTTTAAGGCAAGCTGTTGAAACGTTATGTTTCTTCTGACCAGTCTTGACCGTAGGTCAGTTGTGTAGGCAGTCTGCTGTCTGACATTCTCCCAACACTCCCCCGCCTGAAGAAAAAAAAAACTTAACGTATCCTAATGGAAATAACGTGTGGATTCGGAGAAAGCCAGCCTTTTATAGGACATCTAAAGAAGAGACTGCCCTGCTACCGTATGCCCAGAGGACTCCGTAAACAGCAACACGATGGATTGCTTTGTTTCGAACATGCCTGCTGCATACTGTCCGGGTTTGAATTCAGTGTTTCCTTCTCTTAAATGAGTTGCCATGCTCTTAGCGATTCACAACACTGAGCTGTCTCCGCCTTTTGTCCGTTGACCAAGCAGTAGTTCTTCCGCACAATTTGCACGATTCAGTCTTTACATGCTATAGGGGACAAGCCCTGTTTTCCCGAAAGTTCTATGCCTTTCGGCTACCCTCAACCTGGAATCGTTGTCTGGGTTGTGGTCGCTGTGCATGTTACAGTTTCTTGGAACCACAGGTGAGAGTTGAGTACAGAGACTTCCGGCTGTTTCTCAACAAGAAGTTTTTTTTTCCTATTCAGCCTAACAGTAGATCTATATTGTAGTTGTATTTAGAAGGAGAAATACGTTGATAACTTCCGGCTACAACAAGATGGCGGTATAATAATACACAAAAGGAAGGAATCTCAGCGTGTAGGCGCTTCGGTAAAGCAAGGGAGACAGTTAAAAATGAATATTGGAAATTGGCTTCTGCGCAAGTAGTTCGAACTTTTAATTAATTTTAATTGTTTTGCGGTTTCATTCAGGATCAGAATTTATGCTGTTATCTAAATATCTACCGTTATACTTGCCTTCTATGGATCTGCGCTTTTTTGGCCTTCTAAGGATCTGCCGTTATACTGGCCTTTTAAGGATCTGGGATTGTAAAGGCCTTCTAAGGATCTGCCGTTGTAAAGGCCTTCTAAGGATCTGCCGTTGTATTGGCCTTCTAAGTAAAAACCAGTGTACTGGTCTTCTAAGGATCTGCCACTATACTGGCCTTCTAAGGATCCACCGTTAAACTGGCCTTCTAAGGATCTGTCATTGTAAAGGCCTTCTAAGAATCTGCCGTTATATTGGCCTTCTAAGTATATACCGTTGTTCTGGCCTTCTAAGGATCTCCCGCCAAACTGGCCTCTCCCTAACTTTTAGGATCCCACTTCCTCACTGAACCCTATTGACAAAATGTCACAAAAAACGCGGTCATCTCTCTCTCTCTCTCTCTCACACACACACACACACGCACATACATATATATAATCAATGTTTTCAAATTGTTGTACTTCAGAGGCACAACCACCAACCACACTTTGTACCGGCGTGCAGGCCAACAGCAACAATTTCAAACACACACTCGTGTACGTCCCAGGAGCTGTCAAAGTGGAGTCGGTGGATCTTGTCTCCCAGCAGTCGGGAAGTCCATGCACTAAAGGAGTCTCCTACGGTTTTGTTGGGCCGGATGTGTACGTGGACAAGGGCTGCAGAGCAATCTTCAACGCTTGTTACATACCAGGTAAAAGATTGTTACATACCAGGTAAAAGCTTGTTACATACCAGGTAAAAGCATGTTGAAAACCAGTTAAATATTTGTAACATACCAGGTAAAAGCTTTTTACATACCAGGTTATAGCTTGTTGCATACCAGGTAAAAACGTGCTACATACCAGGTAAACCCTTGTTACATACCAGGTAAAAACGTATTACATGCCAGGTAAGTGCTTGTTAAATACCAGGTAGAAGTGTGTTACATACCAGGTAAAAACGTGTTACATACCAGGTAAACACATGTTACATACCAAGTAAACGCATGTTACATACCAGGTAAAAGCTTGTTTACATACCCTGTAACATTTAAAAGGTATCTTGCTTTTTTATGATTTATACTATTTTTTACAAGCTTTCATTTTAAATTCGCGTTCCGTTTCCCGTTAGTGACAATTTCAGACATTGCCCCTTCAGCGGGCAATAATTGCTTCAGAGTCAGACCACATGCTATTAAGATTGCCCCTTCAAAGTCAGACCACATGCTATTAAGATTGCCCCTTCAGAGTCAGACCACATGCTATTACCGTTGCCTCTTCAGCGTGCAATAATTGCCTCAGAGTCAGACCACACGCTATTAACATTGCCCCCACAGAGGCAAACCACTGCTATTAACATTGCCCCCCACAGAGGCAAACCACTGCTATTAACATTGCCCCCCACAGAGGCAAACCACTGCTATTAACATTGCCCCACAGAGGCAAACCACTGCTATTAACATTGCCCCCACAGAGGCAAACCACTGCTATTAACATTGCCCCCTCAGAGTCAAACCACTGCTGTTAAAATTTCCCCCACAGAGGCAAACCACAGCTATTAACATTGCCCCCACAGAGTCAAACCACTGCTGTTAAAATTTCCCCCACAGAGGCAAACCACTGCTATTATCATTGCCCCCACAGAGTCAGAGTATTGCTGTTTTGAAAAACAGTTTCCATGCCCAGGGTTTAGAGTATTAAATATTTAAAATTTGAGCAGATACGCGATTTGCATTTCCGAAGATGTTTAATTAATATTATCGGAGCTCCTCTCAGGTTTACCATAAGTCCTTAGATGAAAAAAAGAATGCTCAATGTTTTCATCAAATCCGGCTACCAACTCGTAGTCGGCTCCTAGGAGTACGGCGCACCAGCTTCTAGGACTACGGCGCACCAGCTTCTAGGACTACGGCGCACCAGCTTCTAGGACTACGGCGCACCAGCTCCTAGGACTACGGCGCACCAGCTCCTAGGACTACGGCGCACCAGCTGCTAGGACTACGGCGCACCAGCTCCTAGGACTACGGCGCACCAGCAGCTAGGACTACGTCTGCACCAGCTTCTAGGACTACGGCGCACCAGCTCCTAGGACTACGGCGCACCAGCTTCTAGGACTACGGCGCACCAGCTCCTAGGACTACGGCGCACCAGCTCCTAGGACTACGGCGCACCAGCTTCTAGGACTACGGCGCACCAGCTCCTAGGACTACGGCGCACCAGCTCCTAGGACTACGGCGCAGCCTATGACAATGTTAAGCGCTGTACAAATAAAAGTAAATTTAACCTACATAAACTAGTGTTCTTATTGAAAAGAGTTCCTGTCATAAGCTTGTCCAAGGTGAGGGTTCATTACACTGACTGGTATCTGCGTGCAATATCAGAATCAGGTAAAATTTCTTTTTAATGAGCGACAACCGAAGTCCATTGATTCATAGCTGTGATGGTGCTTGACAGACAACTGTGGCTCACTGATTCATTGCTGTGATGGTGCTTGACAGACAACTGTGGCCAACTGATTCATGGCTGTGATGGAACTTGACAGACAACTGTGGCCCATTGATTCATGGCTGTGATGGAACTTGACAGACAACTGTGGCCCATTGATTCATGGCTGTGATGGAGCTTGACAGACAACTGTGGCCCACTGATTCATAGCTGTGATGTTGCTTGACAGACAACTCTGGACCAGAATAACAGAATTGTATATAACAAGGAACACAATTGTATGTAACAAGGAACAGAAGAGCATATAACAAGGAACAGAATAGGATATAAGGAGGAACTTGATTGTTTATTACTATAGTATATAACGAGGAATATTATATAAATATTAATTTTAAAAAACATGTTGTGTAGGAGGAGGGGCCAGTTGTAAAAAGGAAAATGCCACATTAGATCAGAATATAAAGAAGAGATGGGATAAACAGAATAAAATACTAGGCACTAAACAGTCTTGCGGTATTTTTAAGAATCTCGTTTACCTCATTTATTGGGAATTTTATTTTATGCGCTTTGAACTCACTATGACCCAATACTTTCTTTCGTACCTGGAAAATGATTTTGGTGGATTATAACTTAAGTTTTGTAAATCCCTGGGTTCTTCTAATTACCAATCAACTCATTAGCAAACCTATCTGTGTAATAATCAACTTAATACCATATTTTTCCTTTATCTGTGCTAATTAAAGCTATTGCAAACCTTTACTAACCATCTGCACTAATTAAATGAATATCATATTGTTCCCTTATCGGTGCTAATTGACGTCATAGCAAACCTTTGGTTTTCCACTCAGGCATCAACCAACAAATCACGTGCTCAAATGAAGTGACAACTTCAAGGAGAAAGTGTGCTATGCAAATTTCCCGATCCAGTACCACAACGTGAGGAGCCAGTTGTCCAACTCACCTTGTGTTGAGAACCAGAGCTACAACATTGTCGCCAACATGGTCATCGTGAGGGGTGGGTGCAGGAGTGTGTTCAATGTTGGCACCACCAACACGCCTTGAGTACAACAATACGCTACATCATTTCGACACACCGACCACCCAGAGACCTACGACACACTGACCACCCAGAAACCTACGACACACCGACCCCCCAGAGCCCTACGACATACCGACCACCCAGAGACCTACGACACACCGACCACCCGGAGACCTACGACACACCGATCACCCAGAGCTCTACGACACACCGACCACCCAGAAACCTACGACACACCGACCACCCAGAGCCCTACGACACACCGACCACCCACATACCTACGACACACCGACCACCCACAGACCTACGACACACCGACCACCCACAGACCTTGCGCTACATCAACAGAATGCTCAATGTGTCTTCCTTTTTTCTTCTCATTAAAAACATTTAATATAGAATTAGATCCATTAAATTATAAGTGCTTTCACATAGAACATTTTATGTAATAATACATAGGCATTTTATTCTATGTAATCCATATGTGTTCGTGTCTATACCAATAAATGAAATAAATACATACGTACATGCCTTCTTATGTTTAAACAAAAGTTGGATAATGGCACGGTTGTTTTCAAGAAAAATTATACTATTCATAAGGGGGACTGTGCTCAAGCCTTGTGACGTAAGTCAAGAGTGGAACAAGATATGCTTATGCTTGAACAAAAAAAGGCAGTACAATTAATAGATAGGTCCGCAGAGACGAGCATATTAACAATGTATGTAACCTATCAAACCAGACCCTGGGGTTCTTAAGGCGTAATCTAAACATTGGCAACTCCTGTGTGAAAGAAAGAGCATATAAAGCCTTTATCCGTCCGATTTTAGATTATGCATCTTCAGTCTGGGACCCACTTGCCGAGAAGAGCATTGACAGGTTGGAGGCGGTCCAGCGACGGGCAGCACGATTTGTCCTGAAAAATTCTAGGCTGGCCACCATTGGAGGATCGACGACGACAAGCCAGGCTCTCCAGTCAGGGACTGGAACAAGCTTTCAAAAGGAACAGTTGAGGCGACAACACTAGACACATTTGTGTCTATTGCCTCAAGCCTTCAAACTCACAGCAGATGATTCCCTCACAAAGTGGCACTGGAAATCAGTGAAATACCCTCATCACCACCAGGAACAGAAACATTGCAAATCCCCTCTACATGCATAGGAGCCAAAATGATCAATAAATTGATCGTGGGCCCTTCAGATATAGAAGAAGAATAGTACGTTTCGACTGAATGCCTTTCTTCAGCAATCAATACAAAACAATAAGAAAACATATTTGAAAATGAAATCTTAAATGTTGCAAGATGGCATGGTCGCTCTCTCTGTCTCTGTGGAGTGACGTCAACCACGCTTACATTTACCAGCGGGCTGTACCGTCCGGATAGCCAACTAGGTCAAGCGGCGCGCATGGGCAGGGCCTGAAGAGAGTGTGGGCATGGACAGGGTGTTCCGAAGAGAGCATAAAGTCAACATTATTAAGCACTTGTATTATCTCTCTTCTCTCTCTCTCTCTTTCTTTCTCTCTTTCTCTCTCCCTCTCTCTCTCTCTCTCTCTCTGTGTGTGTATATGTGTGTGTGCGTGCGCGTTTGTCTGTCTGTGTGTGTGTGTGTGTGTGTGTCTGTGTCTTAGTGTTAATGTTCATTATTGGAAATAAAAACCTGTTAAAAACATAACAATGACAGAAATTACTTAAGCTCATTTTAAAATGCGTTTCTTTGTACGTACACTGGAGGCCCCAGTCCTGTTAAAACGGTCCCCATGAATTGCTAACGAGTACCCGGAGCCCAAAAAGATTCCACTCCTCAATCCGACACCCCTTCCCTCCCCCCCCCCCCCCCCCCCCCCCCC